ACAAATTATACACAAAGGACATGCAGTGAATCGTTCAATATGAATATTGCACATTCTACATCATGGAATAGTTTTCTCTAACAGCAAGCTGCGTTTTGCTGACAACAACAACGTTTGGACAAAATCAAGATTACCTCCAAGACAACACAAACAAAACAAATCCTAGACAAAGGAGATAGCTGTCCCCAGGGTTTTATGCACCCCGCAGAATTTCTGATTATTTTCCTTTATCATTCTTTGGTAAAATTAACAGAATCTGGTGGTTGGCGGGTGCTCTGGTGTGGTTTGCTTCTTCTTTGCTATCAAACATCTATTGTCTTTATCTCCCCTTCTTCTTTTTTATGTTTGTTACCCTCTTGTAACACCTCTAATCTTCTGGCGCTCATATGACCTAAGGCAGTTGCGAGCGCCGTAAAACCTCTACTAAAAAAGCATAATTGAACATTTTTGGGCTCAGTTTGCATAATTTCATAAATTTTTTTTTCATAAAACCGCGGGGAGAGAAATAGAGACAGCTAATTCTGTACATGCGTGTGCATCAAGTTCCTACAAGGACCCAACAGAAGGTGATCATCGCTTGTCCTGGGCTGTGTCATTCCCTCCTTCTTTTTTGTGTTTGTTACTCTCTTGTAACACATCTAATCTTCAGCTCTTATATTATGACCTTATTGTGTTGTTTGTTTGTTTTATTGTAGTAGACGTTTTACGGCGCTCGCAACTGCATAAGGTCATATGAGCTTATTGTGTTGCAAGCGCCGTAAAACTCTTACTAAAGCTGTAAAAAAACAACACGAAATTTTTCGGGCCAGTAGTTTCAGTTTTAGAGCTGATTAAAGCGCAGCATAGGACTCTCCTGGCAGATGTCACTATAGTCTTAGACACATGACATACACACCTGACATACACACCTGACATACACACCTGACATACACACATGACATACACACCTGACATACACACCTGACATACACACATGACATACACACCTGACATACACACCTGACATACACACCTGACATACACACATGACATAC